AAATTCAGTGGCCATGGGGAAATCAGGAAAGGGTTTGGATTTGGTGTTCAGGGGTAAGATTTGGTAAGGAAAGGGTTTGGGAGGGGGTGTTCTTTTGGCATGGGGGGGTTGGAAAAGGGTTTGGAGTGGTTTTCAGTGGCTTTGGAGGGGTCGGGAAAGGGTTTGGAGGGGGGGTTCACAGGTTTGGGGGGAAGGGGTCAAAAAGTTTGGGGGTGGTGTTCACTGGCATGGAGGGTTTAAAGGAAAGGTTTGGAAAAGGGATTCAGTGGCATGGAGGATCAGGAAAGGTGAAGGGGATTTCAGGGGGCATGGGGGGATCAGGAAAGGTTAATTTGGGATTTTGGGGCAAAGACGGGCCCCCGGGATCAGGAATTTGAGGCATGGGGGGTTTCGGAAAGGGGTTGGATTGGAGTTCGGGGTTGGCAGAGGGGGGACGGGAAAGGTTAAAGTAGTTTTTTTTTTGGCCCATGGATGGATCAAAAAGGGTTTTTGGTTTTTGGGGGTTTTCAGGGTAAGGGGGGGTTTCGGGGAAATTGGGAGTTGAATTCAGTGGAGAGAAGGATCGGGAAATTTTGGGTAGTGGTGTTCCGTGGAAATGGGGGGAATAGGAGAGATAGGAGGGAGTGGGAGAGTTTGGTGGCAAAGAATGTGATCAGGATCCGGATATTCAGTGGCATGAAGGGATCAGGAAAGGTTCGGAGTGGAGTACAGTGGCAGGATGGATCCGGAATGTTGAAGAGTGAAGGTTCAGTGGCATAGGATGGATTCAGGGAGGGTTGGAGTGGGTGTCAGTGCGTAAGGAGTGGTCAGGAAAGGTTGGAGTGGTGTTCAGTGTAAGGATGTGGTTTCGGAAAGGTTTGGGAGTGGTGTTCAGGTGGCATGGAGGGGTCAGGAAAGGATGAGTGGTGTTCGTGCCTGGAGGGGTCAGGAAAGGTTGGCGTTAGTGGTGTTCACTGGATTGGAGGGGGACAGGAAAGTTATGAGTGGTGTTCACTTGCATGGAGCGATCAGGAAAAGGCTGAAAGTGGAGTTATTCAGTGCGATGAGGGATCAGGAAGGATGAGAGGAGGGAAAGGTTGGAGTGGTGTTCACTGGCATGGAGGGGTCAGGAAAGGTTGAGTGGTGTTCACTGGCATGGAGGGGTCAGGAAAGGTTGGAAGTGGTGTTCAGTGGCAAGGAGGGGTCAGGAAAGCTTGGAATGGAGTTCAGTGGCAGGGAGGGGTCAGGAAAGGTTGGAGTGGAGTTCAGTGACATGGAGGGGTCAGGAAAGGCTGAAGTGGTGTTCAGGGGCATGGAGGGGTCAGGAAAGGTTGAAGTGGAGTTCATTGGCATGGAGGGGTCAGGAAAGGTTGGAGTGGTGTTCACTGGCAGGGAGGGGTCAGGAAAGTTTGGAAAGGTGTTCAGTGGCATGGAGGGATCCGGAAAGGTTGAAGTGGTGTTCACTTGGCAAGGAGGGATCAAGAAAGCTTGGAATGGAGTTCAGTGACATGGAGGGGTCAGGAAAGGTTGGAGTGATGTTCACTGGCATGGAGGGGTCAGGAAAGGTTGGAGTGGTGTTCACTGGCATGGAGGGGTCAGGAAAGGTTGGAGTGGTGTTCAGTGGCAAGGAGGGATCAGGAAAGCTTGGAATGGAGTTCAGTGGCAGGGAGGGGTCAGGAAAGGTTGGAGTGGAGTTCAGTGACATGGAGGGGTCAGGAAAGGCTGAAGTGGTGTTCAGTGGCATGGAGGGGTCAGGAAAGGTTGAAGTGGTGTTCATTGGCATGGAGGGGTCAGGAAAGGTTGGAGTGGTGTTCACTGGCAGGGAGGGGTCAGGAAAGCTTGGAATGGAGTTCAGTGACATGGAGGGGTCAGGAAAGGTTGGAGTGATGTTCACTGGCATGGAGGGGTCAGGAAAGGTTGGAGTGGTGTTCACTGGCATGGAGGGGTCAGGAATGGTTGGAGTGGTGTTTCAGTGACATGGAGGGGTCAGGAAAGGTTGGAGTGGTGTTCACTGGCATGGAGGGGTCAGGAAAGGTTGGAGTGGTGTTCAGTGACATGGAGGGGTCAGGAAAGGTTGGAGTGGTGTTCACTGGCATGGAGGGGTCAGGAAAGGTCTTTACCTTTTTTCTTTACTGAAACAGCATTTTTCTGGAGTTTTAGCGTGGTCAAGTTAAAGCAGAACCTTCTATGGAAAGTCCACCAAGAACCCCCCCCCCATTATCTTATAAACAATGTATTCAGTCAGTGTGTGTTTCCTACAGATGGATCCAGTGACACAGAACAACCAGAGAGATGTCCTCTTTATCGCAGGGAGTCACCTCAGGAAGATGATAGCCCCCTTCTGGATCAGGTAGATGGGTAGAATGCAAAAGTGCCTCCAGACTATGAGATTCTTCTCTCTAGTCTCTCGGCGCTCACATTTTTGCTGATACTTTCTATCATCCCGATGGTTTAGGGTTTTTTAGGATGAAGAACCAATGTATATAAAAGTAGAAGTGAAAGATGAAGATGAGGAGACGGATGATCACCAGTCTGGGGAAGAGGGTGAGAGGATGGTGACACCGACAAAAGGTGAGTAATGGTCACTAAATACAGATATTGTTCTAAGATGTGGATTGGTGATTGAGGATCTATAACCCTTCTCAAAATCAGAAAAAATATATAGCGGTTGTCACAATTTTTTGTTACTCATGATGTTTGTGCGCATGTTTATCATGGGAAAAGTCCCCACTTCTAGGTATAAAAGAACATCGTCAACGTATCTCTCCCACCACCTCATTTAAAGAGGTGCTTCAATCAAATTTTAATCAATAAAAAAAACAACATCTCCAAACTGTGAAAAGGTGGAAAAGTCCCCACTGCTAGGTATAAAAGAACATCGTCAACCTATCTCTCCCACCACCTCATTTAAAGAGGTGCTTCAATCAAATTTTAATCAATAAAAACAATATCTTTAAACTGTGAAAAGGTGTAAAAGTCCCCACTGCATCGTCAACGTATCTCTCCCAAGACCTCATTTAAAGAGGAGCTTCAATCCCCCTCGCCCCCCCCCCCCCCCCCCACAATAAATAAATAAAAAAATAAATAAATAAAAAAACTCATCAGCTACAAGTACGGTAGCTGCTGACATTTTATTACGGAACACATACCTGTCCAGGGGTCCTCAGCCGGGCGGTTCTTTGTGTCCCTGGCGCCAGCAAGTTTACGAAGGGAAGCCGACTGTGACTCCTTTTGGCCTCACAGCCGACTTTCCACTATGCATTTGCTTTGAGAATGATCCCGCAGCTTTCTGTGATATGTTCCAGAAGGCTGCAGGGGGGAGACGAAAATCCACTCGGATCGCCTAGGCCTGGGGTGGACAACCTGTGGCCCTCCAGCTTTTACAGCTGGAGTCATGCCTTTGCCTTTGGGAGACTTGTCTGCCACTGGCCTAGGAGATCTGGGCGGAAGTGGGAGCGGGTACCTGTCCAAACTAGGTACCCGCTCCCCCCCCCCCCCCCCAAAAAAAAAAAAAAAATTGTCCAAAAGTGGTAGAGGAGAGAGAAAGTAGGAGGAAAAGGGTGGAATTCCGCTTTAATTTTCAGTTCAGGTAAATGTGTTGAACTGCAAAAAAAATAAAACAAATAAATAAAGAATGCTTTTGATATTATAAAGAAAAATTGTTTCCAACAGGTAGGAGTGGTGTCCAGAATTCCTCGGAGAGACCAATGGATCGCTCTCACACTGTCGTCAAAGTAATCCATCCGAGACTTCGTAGCGCCTCAGATCCGTCCAATCCGGAGCGTCCTTTTCCATGTTCGCAGTGCGAGAAAAGTTTCACTCGAAAACACCACCTTCTTAGGCACCAGAAAAGTCACACGGGTGAACGTCCCTTTCAGTGTTCAGACTGTGGGAGAAGTTTCACTCACAAAGGAGATCTCCTTAGACACCAGAAGATTCACATGGGTGAGCGCCCCTTTTCCTGTGCGGAGTGCGGGAAATCTTACGTACAGAAAGTAAACCTTCTTAGACATCAGAAGAGACACACCGGCAAACGTCCTTTTTCATGTTCAGAGTGCGGGAAATGTTTTATAGAGAAAGCGGACCTTCTCAGACACCAGGGAAGCCACACTGGCGATCACCCTTTTTCATGTTCAGAGTGCGGGAAGTGTTTCCCTTGGAAAACAGACTTTATTAGACACCAGAGAATTCACACTGGAGAACGTCCATTCCCATGTCCAGACTGCGGGAAGTGTTTCATTCGGAAGGCAGACCTGATTACCCACCAAAGAAGTCACACGGGCGAGCGTCCTTTTCCGTGTACAGAGTGCGGGAAAGGCTTCATTCAGAAAGGAGATCTTCTTAGACACCAGAAGATTCACACCGGGGAGCACCCCTATTCTTGCGCAGAATGCGGGAAATCTTACGTTCAGAAAGTACACCTTCTCGTACACCAGAGGAGTCACACGGGCGAGCGTCCTTTTTCCTGCCAAGAGTGCGGGAAATGTTTTGCGGAGATAGGACTCCTTCATAGACATCAGATCATTCACACTGGCGAGCGTCCTTTTTCTTGTACGGAGTGCGGGAAAAGCTTTAATCAAAAAGGAATCCTTATTAGACACCTGAGAGTCCACAAAGACAAATGACCTTTTTCGAGTTCAAAGGTGCGGGAAATGTTTCTCTTTTAGAAACCAGACCTTCGTAAACACTGGAAAAATCCACTGAGCGGGCATCCTAACTGGAAATGTTTTGCAATAAAATCTAAGAATCCCATGTCCATTGGTGCCTATGACACAAGTACAGTGGGTTTTCCTAAGGTGTTCCCTCAGTAGAGTAATTGCCGGATACAGAGGGGGGCGTTTTAGTATTTGTCGTCTTTTTGTTTTGCTATAAAATAAGTGGGTTTGGATGTAGTTGTATTATTATTATTGTGAGCTTGTTTCCAGGACCAAATAAAACACTCATTTTTGTAGTACTTATCATCATTATGACCCTTCATTAGTACACCACCCAAGGCACCATTACTTCCACTGACACCAACAGTGGGGCACCATTCCTTTCACTGACACCAACAGTGGGGCATAATTCCTCCCATTGACACTAATGATGGGGCAGCATTTCTTCCACTGACACCAACAGTGGGGCATAATTCCTCTCCCTGACACCAATAACGGGGAACTATTCGTCTTACTAACACCAGTGACGAGGGACCATTCATTACACTCTTCCACTGACACCAACAATATGGTACCATTCCTTCAACTGACATCAGCAGTAGGGCACCATTCCTTCCACTGACTCCAACAGGGGGGCATAATTCAATTCCCTGACACCAATAATGGGGCACTATTCCTCTTACTAACACCAGTGACAAGGGACCATTCATTACACTCTTCCACTGACACCAACAATATGGTACCATTCCTTCCACTGACATCAGCAGCGGGGCACCATTCCTTCCACTGACACCAACAGAGGGGCATAATTCCTCCCATTGACACTAATGATGGGGCACCATTCCTTCCACTGACACCAACAATATGGTACCATTCCTTCAACTGACAGCAGCAGCGGGGCACCATTCCTTCCATTGACACCAACAGTGAGGCATAATTCCTCCCATTGACCCTAATGATAGGGCAGCATTTCTTCCACTGACTATAACAGTGGGGCATAATTCCTTTCTCTTACACCAATAATGGGGCACTATTCCTCTTACTAACACCAGTGGCAAGGGACCATTCATTACACTCTTCCACTGACACCAACAATATGGTACCATTCCTTCCACTGACATCAGCAGCGGGGCACCATTCCTTCCACTGACACCAACAGTGGGGCATAATTCCTCCCATTGACACTAATGATGGGGCACCATTCCTTCCACTGACACCAACAATATGTTACCATTCCTTCCTTCAACTGACAGCAGCAGGGGCACCATTCCTTCCATTGACACCAACAGTGAGGCATAATTCCTCCCATTGACCCTAATGATAGGGCAGCATTTCTTCCACTGACTATAACAGTGGGGCATAATTCCTTTCTCTTACACCAATAATGGGGCACTATTCCTCTTACTAACACCAGTGGCAAGGGACCATTCATTACACTCTTCCACTGACACCAACAATATGGGGCCTTCTGACATCAGCAGCGGGGTTCCATTCCTTCCACTGACAGCAACAGTGGGGCATAATTCCTTTCCCTGACACCAATAACGTGGCACTATTCCTATTACTAACACCAGTGATGACAAGGGACCATTCATTACACTCTTCCACTGACACCAACAATATGGTACCATTCCTTCCACTGACATCAGCAGCGGGGCACCATTCCTTCCACTGACACCAACAGAGGGGCATAATTCCTCCCATTGACACTAATGATGGGGCACCATTCCTTCCACTGACACCAACAATATGGTACCATTCCTTCAACTGACAGCAGCAGCGGGGCACCATTCCTTCCATTGACACCAACAGTGAGGCATAATTCCTCCCATTGACCCTAATGATAGGGCAGCATTTCTTCCATTGACTATAACAGTGGGGCATAATTCCTTTCCCTTACACCAATAATGGGGCACTATTCCTCTTACTAACACCAGTGGCAAGGGACCATTCATTACACTCTTCCACTGACACCAACAATATGGTACCATTCCTTCTGACATCAGCAGTGGGGCACCATTCCTTCCACTGACAGCAACAGTGGGGCATAATTCCTTTCCCTGACACCAATAACGTGGCAGTATTCCTATTACTAACACCAGTGACGAGGGACCATTCATTACACTCTTCCACTGACACCAACAATATGGTACCATTCCTTCCACTGACATCAGCAGTGGGGCACCATTCCTTCCACTGACACAAACAGTGGGGCATAATTCCTCCCATTGACACTAATGATGGGGCAGCATTTCTTCCACTGACACCAACAGTGGGACATAATTCCTCCCATTGACGCTAATGATGGGGCAGCATTTTTTCAACTGACACCAACAGTGGGGCATAATTCCTTTCCCTGACACCAATAATGAGGCACTATTCTTCTTACTAACACCAGTGACGAGGGACCATTCATTACACTCTTCCACTGACACCAACAATATGGTACCATTCCTTCAACTGACAGCAGTGGGGCACCATTCCTTCCACTGACACCAACAGTGGGGCATAATTCCTCCCATTGACACTAATGATGGAGCAGCATTTCTTCAACTAACACCAACAGAGGGGCATAATTCCTGTCCCTGACACCAATAATGGGGCACTATTCCAGCACTTTGGGAACATCCAACGTCTTTTGCAATTACCTTTTGAGGCTTTCCCTCCTTATGGAGGGTGTCAATGATGGTGTCAGGTCAGCAGTCTTTCCCATGATTGTGATTCCTTCTGAACCAGACTGAGAGACCATTTAAAGGCTCAGGAACCCTTTGCAGGTGTTATGGCTTAATTAGCTGATTAGAGTGGGACACTTTGAGCCGAGAATATTGCACCTTTTCACAATATTCTCATTTTCTGAGATTGTGGATTTGGGGTTTTCATGAGCTGTAAGCCATAATCATCACAATGGTGACAAATCACGGCTTGAACTATCTTGCTTTGCATGTAATGAGTCTATTTCATATATTAGTTTCACCTTTTAAGTTGCATTACTGAAATAAATGAACTTTTGCACCATGTTCTCATTTTTCGAGTTTCTCCTGTATGTGTACCACTGAGTCACATAAGAAAGAGGTGTTGAGGGTGTTGGACCATCGAGGGAAGCATTAAGGGCCGAAATGAGGCCAGGGGACCCCAGGAATGTTGGCAAATGAGCGCAAAATAGGTTTTACAGAATGGATCAAGGAGGGCCTCCCAGTGCAGGAACAAGCAAGTGGAAAGGAAATGCTGCAACCTGGTGACACCACTGGACGTCCATGTGTGGTGCTCACCCCCCCGAAGGAGCCACTGAGTATTGGGTCTTTGTGAGAAGCAGCTGATCTCCTCTAATGCCGGCCATAGACTGGTCAAAAATCGGCCGATTTTTCGACCGGAAAAAAAAATCGGCTGATTTTCGCACCGTTAGTGGGTTAATTGGTTGGCTGTTTTTTGGGCTTTTGCACATATTTTTTATTGGGCATGTTGGAAAATTCGCGGCCGATTTTGACGATCAGCTGATTTCCCTGGCAGTGATGGGCAAATCGGCCAATCGTTTTACTGATAAAAAATCTGTGCATGAGCTGTGACCTGCAAGAAGAAGAAGAATTCCAGTCCGCTATTATATTTTATATGAAAAAGTCTTGTGGTTGCAACAATGTATCCTAGATTGTAAGCTCGAAAGAGTAGGGCCCTATAACCCCTTGTGTGCTGTTTGTAGTTGCTGTAATGTTTCATGTATTGTCCCCCCCTCTATTGTACAGCGCTGAGCAAACCCTTTGGCGCTTTATAAACTCAATGTAATGTATCTATTTGTATCCGAATAAAAACATCTGTATCCGAAATGGATACAAATAGATACAATGTTGCAACGCAAGACTTTTTCATATAAAATATAATAGCGGACTGGAATTCTTCTTTTTCTTCTTCTTTTCTTCTTCTTATGTATTGTTCCCCTGTGTGCTCCCGTCTCGCAAGGGACAGAAGTAATTATGGGGTTAAATGCTGGCTATAGACGGGACGAAAATCGGCTGATTTTTTTATCGTTGGTGGTAACGTCGGCCGATCGAACGACCGATTTTCGACCCGTCTATGGCCTGCTTAAGTGAACTCTCTAGGAAACCCCAGCTAGGAAATGCCCATCCACCTGGCCGTCCTTTGAAGAGTACCCTGGGCCAAGAGATTCCAAGACGGGCATGTAGCACTGTCCCTGGTTAAGTGTAGCACCCAGCAGCCCTCTCTCCTATTGGCCCCAGGGGTGTAGGGATACTCATACTGTCCTTGTATCCTGTAGCTCTGGGTAAACTGTGTTCAGGCCTCTCACTGAGCAAGTTTCTGTCCATGCTTGCTGTCCTTCCTCGGTGGACTGTAAGGCAGTGGAGCTCCCTCTGCCAGCTTCTTTCCCCAGCCTGGAGGCAGACCCCCCCCCCCTCCCTTTCCGGGGTCCTTTTGTAGGTTACACAGCAGCAGATTCAGCAATCCATATTCCACCCAACTCCAGACCTGTGCTGAAAATAGCTCCTTATATCCAGGGGCAGTCTGCCACACTACCAGGGCCTCCAGCCTGGGATTGGGGACTCCCATGAATATACAGATTTAGGTCTCCACCCCTCCGCCCACTGGCTTCTGGAAGTTTCCATAGACCTCCAGAACCAGGTGGAGGCAATAAGAGGCCCAACCTGCTGAGTCATCCAGCCTGACCTGGAGTTGACCCTCCAACTACTGAGTGAGCCATTACATTTTCCTCATTCTCTAGCACTACTAGAGAGTGCTATACGTGTAACCCGCTCCACTCCTCCCAAGAGATCTTCCTCTCTAGCTACCTTATCACCTCCTCCCGCACTCACCTCCAGGACTTCTCCAGGGCCTCTCCCATCCTCTGGAACTCCCTACCACAGCATGTCCGGTCAGCCCCCAACCTGTCTGCCTTTAGGCGATTTTTGAAAACTCACTTATTCCCACCTCCACCTAAGAACTGTACTGTCACCTGCCCCTTCCTTTAGATTGTAAGCTCCACGAGCTGGGCCCTCCTATTCCATCTGTACTGAAATGTATTGTAATTTTACCACCCCCCCCCCCCCTTATATTGTACAACGCTGCGCAAACTGTTGGTGCTATATAAATCCTGTATAGTAATGATGGTATTTTACCATCTCAACCCTGGCAATCTGACACCTGTGGTGGACATAATGATACCGAGTGTGACAGAAATCCAATAAAAACTGCTGGTTGTATCCAGGATGGGAGGTAAATTTGTCTTATGCCGGCCATATACGGTTCGAAAATCGGCCGATTTTTGCACTGTTAGTGGGTTAATTGGTCGGCCGGTTTTTGGGTTTTTTTGCACTTTGAGATTATCGGTCATTTCGGAAAATTTGCGGCCAATTTGGAAAAACGGCCAATTTTCCTGGCAATGATTGCCAAATCGGACAATCGTTTTAACGATAAAAAATTTGAGCATGAGCCGTGACCTGCAAGGGACAGAAGTTATGGGGTGAACTTTATGATTTAGTCGGCCGATTTTTTTAATCGTCAGTGGTAACGTCGGCTTAACGACCGACCAATTTTTCGTTTACCGTTTGAAAAATCGTCCAATGTTCGACCCGTCTATGACCTGCATTAGGTTGGCCATACACTAAACAATTTTCTGTCCAATTTATGCCCAATTTCCTTTAGATTTACCTTCAACTATGTAGTGCAAGGGCCTGCCTAATTGGATACAACCGAAAGTGTTGTTTAGGTTTGACCTCTGAGGCTGGCCATACATTATACAATTTTCTTTAGAAAATTGCTTTAGATTTACCAAAATCCATATAATAGAAGATCAAACCTAAACCACACTTTCAATTGTATCCAATTAGGCCGGGCCTTACACTAAACTTTGGAATAAAGGCTGCAGTTCCTCTATTCCCCAAAAGGTGCTGATCTTACTTGTGCTGAATGGAATGAGCAGATGGGAAGTCTCTATGGAAGCCACAGACAGGAAGTGATGTAAGAAAGGGAAAGGAAGTTCCAGGTGAGAGGTCAGTTGGCAGGAAGTAAACAGGACACATTACTGAAACTGGCAGCAGAGGAGGTAATAACATTTTATTTTCTATTTACACCCAGTAATCCCCCGTCATGTCCGTCCTCTTCCTCGTCATGTCCGTCCTCTTCCTCCATCACCACTGTGACGTCTTATATCTCCAGCAGATGATCATATATACTTTTATTATATAGATTATCGCTGACAATTAAACTGTACAGAGAACACTGAGCCAGTCTCATCAGTCTCTGTACCAGAGGAGCTTACACTCTAAAGTCCCCTCCCCCACAGTCCCATCGGTCTGTGTACCGGAGGAGCTTACGCTCTAATGTCCCCTCCCCCCGCAGTCTCATCGGTCTCTGTACCGGAGGAGCTTACGCTCTAATGTCTCCTCCCCCCGCAGTCTCATCGGTCTGTGTACCGGAGGAGCTTACGCTCTAATGTCCCCTCCCCCCGCAGTCCCATCGGTCTCTGTAACGGAGGAGTTTACGCTCTAATGTCCCCTCCCCCCGCAGTCCCATCGGTCTCTGTACGGAGGAGCTTACGCTCTAATGTCCCCACCCCCGCAGTCACATCAGTCTCTGCACCAGAGGAGCTTACGCTCTAATGTCCCCTCCCCGAACAATCACATCAGTCTCTGTACCGGAGGAACTTACGCTCTAATGTCCCCTCCCCTGCAGTCCCGTCAGTCTCTGTACCAGAGGAGCTTACGCTGTAATGTCCCCTCCCCCGCAGTCCCGTCAGTCTCTGTACCGGAGGAGCTTACGCTGTAATGTCCCCTCCCCCGCAGTCACATCAGTCTCTGTACCGGAGGAGCTTACGCTCTAATTTCCCCTCCCCCACAGTCCCATCAGTCTCTGTATCGGAGGAGCTTTAGTCTTCTCCTGATCAACATTCTAGAACTCTGGGGTGGTTGTCCCTGTAATGTTGGACCTGGCAAATGGAAGGTATTGAGATCGGGAATCAGTCTTCTCCCATTCAATATTCTGAAATCTGGGCTGGTTGTCCCTGCAACACTGGATGGTCATGAGATCTGGATTCAGTCAGAAAACACCACAGTACTGGCGTACATCAGCCATCAGAGAGGAACTATATGTCTTGCGGCAGCAAGAGAGAGCAAATCCTGTTGTAGACAGAACTTCACATTCCTGCCTTGTCCACCATGTACGTAGCAGTAGGACTTCCTCAGATGGCAGCGTCTGGACCTAGGGGAGTGTCTCCTACACCCAAAGGTGTTTTGGGACCTGTGTCACTGGAGTCCTGTTTTGCAAAATCGAGAGGGGTGTTGCCCTGGTGGTCCTCATAACTCTTTGTTGGCCCAGGCAGATGTGTTACTCCAACTTGATGATAACCTTGGTGTATGCTCTGTGGGTTCCTTTAGATCTTCTGTTTAAAGAACTGATTTACCACCCTGCTTTAAGGTCGCTGGTTTTAACAGCATGGTTACACCTTCAGATAATTGTAGTGTCGTGTGATTGGTCAGGACGTGTGGCAGTGTTCCATTGATAATGTTTTCATTTTTGTTGTAGTGGTGGGTGTGACGATCGTGGCGTCAGACCCCAGCCCTTCTCACCAAACTCGTGACCGAAGGACTAGCCAATCTAAAACCGCGATGTTACGTGCGTAACAATGCCACGCCCAGCTGCACCCTGCACAATGATTTTCCAGCTAATGGACCACAATCTGTGTACCTGCGGCCTGGGAGCAATTGTTACTGGGTCAGGTTAATTACGCAATTAACCCTTCACACTGCCACCACCTCCTTTTTGTACAGAGAAAGGAAACTCGGCAATATCAGCAATAACACTATGATGTTTGAATAATTGTTTGTATACACAATGTCACCGGAGACAGATGCAGACGTTTAAAAACACACAGTAGCGCTCTTAAGAGACAGGTATTCTTAGTTTGCATTAAAGAGCTTTAGAAACAGTTCAACACTTTCAGAAAGTTAGATTTATTACTAAAAGGTCAAAAGGGTGCAATAAAAGTACTTACAGAAAAGATGTAGCCAATATATATATATATATATATATATATATATATATATATATATATATATGCAATAACACAGCAAAGAGATAACAGAAAAAAAATTAGAGGGATAAAGTACTTGCCAAAAGCCTTGGTTTAAGAAACGTTCAAGTTTCAGAGCAAAAGAGCCGTCTCCCAAAGTTGGTTCCGATGTTACAAGGGTGAATCTTCAACTCCGCTTAGCTCAGCTGAACTCCAAACATAACAGCTTTTCTAGGAACTCAGCAAGGTGTCTCCTTGAAGCAGAGAACCAATCGCCTCATTTGGGGAAGGTGTTGGGCGGAGACCCAAGCTAGAACCGAAATCCCTTGCTAGTTGATACCAGGGCAATAACTTTCCCTGGATACATGTAACATTCTATCCACGGGTAGATTAATTCGCAGAATCATCTGCTGAACATCTAGATATGAAATATGACATACCTGATGGGACGGTTAAGGAGATATTTTCTGCTCCTGTAGATGTCAGCTAGGGGGTATAATATATCAGACGACTTGTATTAAAATGACCGGTCTGAATATTTGCCTGGTTTTTATGTAAGTTTTCCATATCTCCAGATATAAAATTATATGGAAAAGGGGATTTTTAAATGTGAGTCTGTTTTACGACTACCTGGAATGTCTTTGAAGCTCAGCGAAGGACTGGTTTTATGGTTTTACGATATCCCAGATTGAGAGGCTAACAGACATCTGGGCACCAGCTAGGCTGGGATTTATAGCCATGCAGCTCTCCCACTGGGGCCTGTTGCCTTTTGAACTCAGCATACACACACAGACCACATTCCTGAGGGAGGGGGGAAATCGGAGGAGGGAGACTGATTTGGGAGTAGAAAATGATACAAGATGGAGGCCTTTGCCAAAATGGAGGTTGGAATCCATGTCTGTGTGCACGATTGCTACAGTGGGTCATAGGTATGTGATCAACACTTGTTTGTATTTATATTTATCTTTTTGATATGAATAAAGTAGAAGATGACAACATTCAGCAAGAACAGATATAAATGAAAGCTGGAAGTTAAAGAGGAAGAAAAGGAGGCACATGCGATGGATTATCAGGAGTCTACAGAGACAGATGGGGAAAAGCCAACAATTAAGTGGGAGGAATCTTCTCAAGATATCAGCACAGGTGAGCAATGACGACTAAATACTGTTTATGAATTCATGATTAATAATCTGTAGACCTTCACAGCACTGGGTGGCAATATCTATACGTGGTCCTGGTGGAAAAACAGCCGGGTAATTTGAGACTTTTTTGTAAAGGAGAGAGCAGTATGGAGGGTCCACCTAGATTCCCCATCATCTGATAAACATATAGAAACAATGGATTCAGTCAGTGTGTGTGTTTCCTACAGATGGATCCAGTAATGGGAACCCACCAGAGAGATGTCCCCATCCTCTGTATTCCTGGGATTCCACGCAGGAAGATCACACCATCCCTCACCATCATCAGGTAGATGGATCCAGTCATGGGAACCCACCAGAGAGATGTCCCCATCCTCTGTATTCCCGGGATTCCGCACAGGAAGATCAAGTAGGTTCATGGAACCCAAAGTGCCTCCAGACTGTATGAGATGGCACATTTCCATGTTGTCTCTGCTTATTGGTGGTCAGATTTTAAAGATGTTATTTTCTGTCATTCTGTTGCTGTAGCTTGAAGAACAGATGGATGTTAAAGTTAAGGTTAAAGAGGAAGAAGAGGATACGTATGTGATGGATTATCAGCATTCTTCAGAGGAGGTTGGGTTGAAGGCAATGAAGGAACCCATAGATGTTTGCACAGGTGAGCAGGGTAGGATGTAGCCAGTAGATCAGCAGTTTTTGAAGTACTCAGACCAGCCCGTCTAGCACCAACAAGTCACTTAAATCCCCTTTCTTCCCCATTCTGATGCTCGGTTTGAACTTCAGTAAGTCATCTTCACCACGTCTAGATGCCTAAATGCATTAAGTTGCTGCCATGTGATTGGCTAATTAGCAATTTGTGTTACCAAGTAACTGAACAGGTGGACCTCATAAAGTGGCCGGTGAGTGTAGATAGACTGGCTAATTATAGGAGCCAACAAGACAGTACATATTTATAATTTAAGTAGAGGGAAGTCAAAACCGCCCCAATTTATTTCATCTGCGCATGAGCACGGAATTTCTGTTCATGCACGCCTTTGCCACTGGCCGCTAAATTGCTCAGCCACCAGGGGCGGGCAACATTTGTTAGCATGCGCAGAAAATCGTTTCCACATATGCAGATGCATCACCGATCTCTTCCAGCTCCCAAATGCCTGGAACAGACCAATGGCGAAGCTGCGCATGTGCTGTTTTTTTTTTTTTTTTGTAAATGGCCATACGGAAGAGGAGGGGGATGTAATTCACAAGTGGTTTAGTTTCACTTTCAACTGGAGAGGTCTCCTCGATGGAACAGTGTTTGGTGGCTCAGGGAAGGTGAAGAAAGTGGGTGACAGATGCAGAAAAGCCAACAATTAAGTGGGAGGAATCTTCTCAAGATATTGGCATAGGTGAGCAATGAAGGCTAAATATTATGTATGGATTCATGAGTGATAATCTGTAGACCTTCACATTGCTGGGCAACTATCTATACAACGGGGTCATTATGGAGAAAAAGTCGGGTGAGAGGAGACTTCATTGTAAATGAGAGAGCAGTTCGGAGGGTCCACCTAGATCCCCCATCATCTGATAAACACATAGAAAAAATAAATTCAGTCAGTGTGTGTGTGTTTCCTACAGATGGATCCAGTCATGGGAACCCACCAGAGAGATGTCCCCATCCTCTGTACTCCCAGGATTCCACACAGGAAGGTCACACCATCCCCCACCATCATCAGGTAGATGGATCCAGTCATGGGAACCCACCAGAGAGATGTCCCTGTCCTCTGTGTTCCCAGGATTCCACACAGGAAGGTCACACCATCCCCCACCATCATCAGGTAGATGGATCCAGTCATGGGAACCCACCAGAGAGATGAGTGATAGTCTGTAGACCTTCACATCGCTGGGTGACAATATCTATACAAAGGGGTCATTAGGGAGAAAAAGTCGGTGAGAAGAGACTTCATTGCAAAGGAGAGAGCAGTTCGGAGGGTCCACCTAGATCCCCCATCATCTGATAAACACATAGAAACAACGGATTCAGTCAGTGTGTGTGTTTCCTACAGATGGATCCAGTCATGGGAACCCACCAGAGAGATGTCCCCATCCTCTGTATTCCCGGGATTCCACACAGGAAGATCACACCATCCCTCACCATCAACAGGTAGGTAGATAGAACACAAAAAAAGGACTCCAGCAAAGACTTTTTCTCTTCTACGTAGTCTCAGCCTATTGATTCTCTCAAAGTTTGATATCATTTTATGTCATCCTGTTGGTTTAGCACGAAGAACAGATGTATATTAAAGTCGAAGTTAAAGAGGAAGAAGAGATGAGGGATGGCCAGCAGTGTTGGGAGGAGGCTGGGATAAAGGTGACAAATAAACGGAAGGAAGCTTCTCTAGATACCAGCACAGGTAAGTAATGAACACTGCGGTGTACATGGAATAAATGAGGACAATTCTTGCATCATCGCGGTTTATGTTTTCTCTGCTTATCGCGGTGGTGTCTCACTGTTGCCTTTAGGTATGCAATTCCATATTTAGGTGGGACATCAGGCATTCCACATACAGTGAAGGGAAGAAGGTTCTCACCCAAGATTTGATGGTACATTGCCCTGTCCATCGTCCCTTTGATGCGGTGCAGTTGTCCTGTCCCCTTAGCAGAAAAACACCCCCAAAGCAGAATGTTTCCACCACCATGTTTCACAGTTGGGATGGTGTTCTTGGGGTCATAGGCTGCATTCCTCCTCCTCCAAACATGGCGAGTTGAGGTGATGCCAAAGAGTTCGATTTTCGATTTTGGTCTCATCTGACCACAACACTTTGGCAACTCAAACTTTCAGCTCCCTCCACATATTTTCAATCGGATTAAGGTCTGGAGACTGGCTAGGCCGGGGTTTCTCAGGGGAACAAGAAACTGCAAGAGCCTCAAGAGACCACAAGAAATATGCAGCCAAGATCATTGCCGTGTTAAAAAGCTGACCGGCAAACCCTCCAAATGAGCCCAAAGCGGGTGCTCCCTCAGCAGGACCAAAGGTGTCAAGTCTACTATTTAACCATTACATTATCACCTCAAAATGGTGATCATCCTCCACACGGATATGTGAGATGCCTGATTGCATTCATATTTACTGCAGCCAGAATATCCATTGCACGCTCCTGGTGGTCTCACTTAGTACCCCTTGACCTCCTGATGGTCAAGGTGACCTGGATTATGGTCAATGAATGTTTGACTGCTATTCTTCATGATAGGGTGGCCTACTTTGAAAAAACCTGGGATCCTTGGATGAAATATCTCTCGGCACCGCCCTAGATTGGATGGTGGACAATATGGGGAATCTATAAACAGTACACGTCTCGTACCCCGCGCTCGGTTGCCCGCCGGTTCCTCCTCCTCCATGCGTCCTTCTTTCTCGTTCTCTATTCATTTTCTATTTTCGCTTCTTCCCTCTTTTCTTCATCTCTTTCCCTTTTACGTTTCTTTCCCTGGTATTGGATATAGTTAACTAAAGGCCATGGGGGGGTGCCTCAACTAATGACCTGTTGATCATTGGAGGGTGATCGACCCTCCATACAGGTTATGGTAGTCTCTGACGCCAGGCCTGACAAAAAGTTTCACTTTAGTTTTCATTTTCTCCTTTACCTTGTTGTTACGGGCCTTACACTACAAGTCCCAATGGGACCCTTTTGGCTGTCATTGACTGACAATTGTCCTGGAAAGTTGTATTTTGTACATTGCTTGTATCATCCCAGACGGGTGGCAGTTTATGGAAAATGGAGGTAAGACTTTCTGGATTGGTTTGTAACTCCTTCTTTTATAAAACAAATAAACATCATTGAAATGAAAATGGTGATCATCCTGCAGCCAGGTCACCAGAGGCTGAAGTTCCATTTTGAAATTCAGAATGCCTGAAAAGTCCCACCTAAATATGGAATTGCATACTTAAAGGCAGGGCTTGACAAATCTGAGGCACCAGGTCACCATGGCGTCTAGAAATTAAGTCTTGGCGCCTGGGTTCACACACTGCCTTCAATGCATAATCGCATCCTATTGACTTCAATACATTGCGTTCCAAAGAGTTCAAGGTAAAAATTGCGTCCCTCTAGACTTCAATGCAAAATCGCCTCCCATAGACTTCAATGCAAAATCGCCTCCCTTAGACATCAGTGCAAAATCGCCCTCCCATATACTAAGATGCAAAATTCCCTCCCATAGACTTCGATGTAAAATCGGCTCACATGGGTTTCGATGCAAAATCGCCTCCCATGGGTTTCGATGCAAAATCGCCTCCCATGGGTTTCGATGCAAAATCACCTCCCATAGGTTTTGATGCAAAATCACCTCCCATAGGTTTTGATGCAATATCACCTCCCATAGGTTTCGATGCAATATCACCTCCCATAGGTTTCGATGCAAAATTGCCTCCCATGAGTTTCGATGCGAAATCGCCACTCAAGGGTTTTGAAGCGAAATCGCCTCCCATAGGTTTCGATGTGAAATCGCCTCCCATAGGTTTCGATGCGAAATCGCCTCCCTTAGGTTTCGATGCGAAATCGCCTCCTATAGACTTTAAAGCAAAAAAAGCCCCCCATAGACTTCAATGCAAAATCACTAAAAATATGTATCAAACTTGCGCCAAGGAAACGAGTGAAAAATTAAATGCTGCTGTTCAACAATTTACTAAACATAAAAAAATCATAAAAATAATACAGTGCAAATAATACAAATAATCAAAACTGTGACAAATTATATGTGAAAGTCCAAAAAAAGTCCCAAATAAACACACATTTTTCATATTTATTGGGACATTGGACTTTAATTTGGGACTTTTTTTGGACTTTCACATATAATTTGTCACAAAATGTATTCTGCTCCGTGTCTTTGCTAAAAAAAAAAAATCCCAATACTTGCAAATTAATTGGTTTACGTGAAAATTGGTTTACCAAAAGAAAGCTCAATTTGTTGGAAAGAAAAGATGTACATTTAATTTTGGTTTACATTTTGTGACAAATTACATGTGAAAGTCCAAAAAAGTCCCAAATTAAAGTCCAATGTCCCAAAAAAATTTGAAAAAATGATTATTATTAGTGAGCAAGCTGGAAAAAATTTAAAAGTTTAAAATAAAAAAAATTTTTTTTTTGGAACATTGGACTTTAATTTGGGACTTTTATTTTTACTTTCACATATAATTTGTCACAGTTTGATTATTTGTATTATTTGCGCTGTATTATTTTTATTATTATTCAATGCAAAATCGCCCTCCTTTTTCACTTTAATGTGAAAATTCCTGTCAATAGCAATCCTATGTGAACATTTATCTACGTATGCCGCTCTATCACTTGTGAGTCTTGGACGCACTGCTGCAAACACGTACAGGACCCTTACCGTAATGGCAATAAAAACGCCATGTGACTTTGCATTTCTGGGTAGGGGGCGCAAGCGAGCCACACGCACTCCCTACCCGCGCCACCATTCACGGCCACGGCTGTCAATCACCGGGTCCCGGCCAGTGATTACCGAGCATCTCCGACGGGGAGGAGGACTGTTTTGTTTACACTGCACAGCTCAGCCATCCACAGCAGTGTGATTACAGTGAAGCACACAGACCCCTAGTAAAACACGCCCAGCACACTGTTAACCCTTTGATCATCCCTCATGTTAACCCCTTCCTGCCCAGTGCCATTAGTACAGTTCAATATATATGTTCTATAAGTGACCACCTTGAAATATTTATCCAAATGTCGCTATATCGTGCCTGATGCAAAAAAGATTTTTAGCCTCTAAAGAAAAATATAAATATATAAAAATATAAATAAAAATCTATTATATTAGTACAGTGTCTGCTTTTTATTAGCACTGATCACTGTACTGGTGTCACCGGGGATGTCAGTGACACCAAGTCAGTTCCCCACCCCCCAGTGTCAGAATGTCCACCACAGTCCCGCTATAAGTCGCTGATCACTGCCATTACTAGTAGAAATAAATAACAATTCCAGTATATACACCGCCATTTGTAGACGCTATAACTTTCACGTAAACCAATTAAGTCACATATATCAGGATTTTTTTTTTTCGCAAAGACATGTCGCAGAATATATTTTGGCGTAAATTTATGACAAAATTTGATTTTTGCAAAGACATGTCGCAGAATACATTTTGGCGTAAATTTATGATGAAGTCCAACATGTTTTTTTTTTCTCAAAATTGTCGTTTTTTTTTTTTTTTGTTTTTGTAGCATCCGAAGCCACCACTGCCTGTAAGGTCCTTCAGGTGGATCTTTAAGCTGCAGACAGTCCCCAGCCCTTTTGGGGTTTTTTTGGTGAGCTTTTTAGCATTCGGTTTGCTGTTGAATGATGGGGGTTGGTACAGCAGGCACTCATCTTCCCGAATAATAAACTGTATTGAGCGAGAAAACTTGCGTATGAAATTAAAAATGCACAGGCGATCAAATACCCCCGAAAGATCAATTTGTGGGGAAAAAAAGGACGTAAATTTAATTTGGGTGCAGCGTTGCACGACCGCGCAATTGTAATTTAAAATAATGCAGCGCCATAGCTTTCACGTAAACCAATTAATTTGCACGTATCGGGATTTTTTTCAGCAAAAGACATGTCGCAGAATACATTTATGATGAAATTTAGATTTTTACTTTTTTTTTTTTTACTGGGCATGTTTACTAGCAAAAAGTCCAAAATATTGTTTTTTTTTTTTCTCAAAATTGTCTTTTTTTTTTTTCATAGCGCAAAAAATTAAAACCGCACAGGCAATCAAATACCCCCAAAAGCTCAATTTGTGGGAAACAAAGGATGTCAATTTTATTTGGGTGCAGCGTTGCATGACCGCGCAATTGTCAAAGTAATGCAAAAAAAATGGCCTGGTCAGGAAGGGGGGAGGGGGGGAATCCTCTGGAGGGCGAGGGGCTAATGTAAATTTTTCTCCTCTGTGCATGCTCCTCATATTGTCCCCCGCCGCGCTGCCCGAATTCACATATGTGAATGTCCTCCATGCCTGCTGGGATCTAAATAAAAATCCCCGTATCTCTACCGCCATTTGTAAACGCTAACCAATTAATTTACACGTATTGGGATTTTTTTTGTACTGAAAGAAAGCTCTATTTGTGGGGAAAAAAGCACGTACATTTCATTTGGGTGCAGCGTTGCATGACCGCGCAATTGTCAGTTAAAATAACGCAGCAGCATAATGCAAAAAACTTTCATGCAAACCAATTAATTTGCACGTATCGGGATTTTTTTTCAGCAAAAGACATGTCGCAGAATACATTTATGATGACATTATTTATTTTTTTTACTGGATATGTTTAATAGCAAAAAGTCCAAATATTGTTTTTTTTTTCTCAAAATTGTCAGTCTTTTTTTTTTATAGCGCAAAAAATAAAAAATGCACAGGCGATCAAATACCACTGAAAGCTCAATTTGTGGAAAAAAAAGGACGAAAATTTTATTTGGGTGCAGCGTTACACGACTGCGCAATTGTCAGTTAAAATAACGCAGCGCCGTAACGCAAAAAAAACGTTCACGTAAACCAATTGATTTGCACGTATCAGGATTTTTTTCAGCAAAAGACATGTCGCAGAGTACATTTATGATGAAATTTAGATTTTTAAATTTTTTTTTACTGGGCATGTTTAACCACTAGCCTACTGGGCACTTATACCCCCTTCCTGCCCCTGGCCAATTTCCAGCTTTCAGCGCTGTCGCACTTTGAATGAAAATTGCGCGGTCATACAACATTGTACCCATATGAAATTTTTATCATTTTTTTGTGACAGATAGAGCTTTCTTTTGGTGGTATTTAATCACCTCTGGTTTTATTATTTTTTCTTAAACAAACCAAAAACCAGAGAAAATTTTGAAAAAAAAAAAGTTTTTTCTTAGTTTTTGTTATAAAATTTTGTAAATAAGTGATTTTTCTCCTTCACTGATGTGCGCTAATGAGGCTGCACTGATGGGCACTGATAGGCAGCACTGATGGACACTGATAGGTGGCAGTGATGGGCACTGATGAGGAAGCACTGGTAGGTGGCACTAATGGGCATTGACAGGCATCACTGACAGACACTGAAAGGCAACACTGATACATGGCACTGATATATGGCACTGTTAGGCGGCACTGACTGGTGGCACTGTTAGGCGGCACTGACTGGCACTGTTAGGCGGCACTGACTGGCACTGTTAGGCGGCACTGACTGGCACTGTTAGGAGGCACTGACAGACACTGTTAGGCGGCACTGATGCACACTGATAGGCAACACTGACTGGCACTGATAGGCGGCATTGACTGGCACTGATAGGTGGCACTGATTGGCAGCACTGATAGGCATTGATAGGTGGCACTAACTGGCACTGATGGGTGACACTGAAAGGCAGCTCAGATGGGCACTGATATGTGGCATTGATGTGCACTGGTAGGCACTGATATGTGGCACTGATGGGCACTGGCACGAGGCACTGACACAAGGCACTGACAGGTGGCACTGCTGGGGGCTACACTGATCATTAGGGCACACTGATCATCAGTGTACATGTCCCCTCCGCGGAAAGCCGATTACCGGATCTCCTCTGTCAGCGTGACAGCTCAAGAGGAGAGAAATGCCAATAACCGGCATTTCCCTGTTTACATGTGATCAGCTGTAATTGGAGACAGCTGATCACATGACTGAGCCGACATCTTCGGCTCTTTCCGTGATCGGTGATCCGCTGTGTCCGAGGGACACAGCGCACCGCTGATCGCCGCGCTGCGCGCTCCCTGAGCCGCGCATGCGCAGTGAGAATGGGAGGACGTCATATGATGTCCTCCCAGAATGAGAGAACCACCTTGCACCCGTCATATTACTATATGGCTGGCGGGAGGTGGTTAATAGCAAAAAGTCCAAAATATTGTTTTTTTTTTCTCAAAATTGTCTTTTTTTTTTTTTATAGCGCAAAAAAATTAAAACCGCACAGGCGAGCAAATACCCCCCGAAAGCTCAATTTGTGGGGAAAAAAATTACGTACATTTAATTTGGATGCAGCGTTGCATGACCGCGCAATTGTTAAAGTAACGCAGTGCCGTAACGCAAAAAAAAAAGGCCTGGTCAGGAAGGGAAGGGAGGGAGGGGGGGGGGATTCTCTGGAGGGCGAGGGGTTAATTTAAGTTTTTCTCCTTTGTGCATGCTCCTCATATTGTCCACTGCTGCGCTTCCTGACTTCAAATATGTGAATGTCCTCCATGCCTGCTGGAATCTAAATAAAAATCCCTGTATCTATACCAGGCCTTGAAATTTCCACTTGCCTGCTCGCCAATGGCGAGTGGAAATTATGGTGGGACCTCTTCCTGACGGCCTGGTCAGGAAGAGGGGGGTAAATCCTCTGGAGGAGGAGGAGTTAAATTACCTTGGACATTTGTTTGGTGCTTCCATTGGATGATATTAGTGTGGATTCTAAACTCCGGGTTCTTTCCTTTTTTTTTTTTGTCCTGAGGGTGCCCCTAAGTTTTGTAGGGTGCTGGTGACGCGGAGCTGGTGTGCCTAGTGACCAGAGCCGGTGTGCCTAGTGACCCGGAGCCGGTGTGCCCAGTGACCCGGAGCAGGTGTGCCCAGTGACCCAGAGCAGGTGTGCCTAGTGACCCGGTACCGGTGTGCCTAGTGACCCGGTACCGGTGTGGTGTGCCTAGTGACCCTTCGCAAACCCGAATCCGGCACCTCGTTCGTTCTTGTGTATGAAAAAAGGGACTTGCAATGTTATCTGCACCAAGAACTGAGATGAGCAGTGGTGAGACATCACTCCGATAAAGTCTGATTTCTAGAATGGGAATGAAAAGTTCTTTTCTTTCTTGTCCATTGAAGGACGGGCAAAGATTTGTACTGTTGGGTTGTACTCCCGCCTACACAAGGCTTTTACACCGGCAAACAAAAAAGAATGTAGGCAAGACTAGGACAATCCACCCCAGTTTTTGGTGTCCTAGCAGACACACTCTACTAGATCTATAGGTTTCTCCTGGGCACTTCGGGCAAGGCCTACCATTTTTCGAGATTCACCCAGTCTTTCCTTTTCCAAGGTGGATAATTAGGCCTCATCCAAAGCCACCATTGCCTGTAAGGTCCTTCAGGTGGATCTTTAGGCTACAGACAGTCCCTAGTCCTTTTCGTTTTTTTTTTTTGTTTGTGAGCTTTTTAGCATTCGGTTTGCTGTTAAATGATGAGGATTGATATAGCCGGCACTCGTCTTCCCGAATAATAAACTGTATTGAGCGAGTAAAACGTGCATATGAGATGGTTTTAAGCGTTTCGGCAATCAGCCTTCGTCATAGGGGTTGGTCATGGGCTATGACTAATGCCGGCCATAGATGGGTCAAAAATTAGCCGATTTTCGCACCGTTAGTAGGTTAATTGGTTGGCCGTTTTTCGGGCTTTTTGCACATTTTTTTTTTATCAGGCATGTTGGAAAATTTGCGGCCAATTTTGACGATCGCCCGATTTTCCCGGCAATGATGGGCAAATCAGCCGATCGTTTTAACCGATTAAAAAATCTGCGCATGAGCCGTGACCTGCAAGAAGAAGAAGAAGAATTCCAGTCCGCTATTATATTTTATATGAAAAAGTCTTGCGTTTGCAACAATGTATCTATCTGTATCAGATTAAAACCATCTGTATCCAAAATGGATACAAATGGATACATTGTTGCAACCGCAAGACTTTTTCATATAAAATATAATAACGGACTGGAATTCTTCTTCTTCTCCTTCTGCTTTCTTCTCCTCCTTCTCTTCTTCTTCTCCTTTTCCTTCTTCTTCTCCTTCTTTCTCCTCCTTCTTCTTCTCCTTCATCTTCTTCTTCTCCTTCTTCTTCTCCTTCTCGTTCTTCTTCTCCTTCTTCTTCTACTTCTTCTTCTCCTCTCTTCTCCGTCTTCTCCTTCTTCTCCTCCTCCTTCTCCTCCTCCTTCTCCTTCTTCTTCTCCTCCTTCTTCTTCTCCTTCTTATTCTTTTTCCTCCTTCTCCTTTTTCTTCTCTTCTTATTCTTTTTTCTTCTTCTTCTTCTTCTCCTTCTCCCTCTTCTTATCCTCCTTCTTCTTCTTCATCTCCTCCTCCTTCTTCTCCTCCTCCTTCTTTTTTCCTCTTCTCCTCCTCCTCCTTCTCCTCCTCCTCCTTCTTGTTCTCCTTCTCTTCCTTCTTCTCCTTCTTCTTCTCCCTCTCCTTCTTCTTCTCCTTCTTCTGCTTCTTATTCTTCTTCTTTTTCTTTTTCTTTTTTTTACTTCTACTTCTCCTCCTCCTTCTTCTTCTCCTTCTTCTTCTCCTTTCTCGTTCTACTTCTCCTTCTTCTTCTACTTCTTCTCCCTCTTCTCCGTCTCCTCCTCCTCCTCCTCATTCTCCTTCTCTTCTCCTCCTTTTTCTTCTCCTTCTTATTCTTTTTCTCCTTCTTCTCCTTTTCTTCTCCTTCTTCTTATTTTTTCTCCTCTTCTTCTCCTTCTTCTTCTCCTTTCTTCTTATCCTCCTTCTTCTTCATCTTCTTCTCCTCCTCCTCCTCCTCCTCCTCCTTCTTCTTCTCCTCCTCCTTCTTTTTCCTCTTATCCTCCTCTCTCCTCCTCTCTTCTTCCTCTCTTCTTCTTCTCCTCCTCCTCATTCTCTCTCCTCCTCCTCCTCCTCCTCCTTCTCTTCTCCTTTTCTCCTCTCTCCTCTCTTCTCTCTCTTCTCTCTCCTCCTCTTCTTCTTCTCTCTCTCTCTCTCTTCTTCTCCTTCTTCTTCTCTCTCTCCTTCTCCTTCTTTTTTCTTATTCTTCCTTCTTCTTCTTCTGTTTCTTATTCTTTTCTTTCTTCTTCTTCCTTCTTCCTCTTCTCCGTTCTCTCCTTTCTTTTTTCTTCTTCTTTTCCTCTTTTTTTTCTTCTACTTCTCCTCCTCCTTCTCCTTCTTCTCTTCTCCGTCTCCTTCTTCTTCTTCTCCTTTTCTTCTCTTCCCTTCTCATCTTCTTCTTCCTCTCTTCTTCTACTTCTTCTTCTCCTCTTCTCCCTCCCTTCCTCCTCTTCTCCTCCTCCCTTCTTCTCCTCCTCCTCTCTCCTCCTTCTCCTTCTTCTCTTCCTTCTTCTTCTCCTTCTTCTTCTTTTTCCTCCTCCTTCTCTTTTTCTTCTCCTTCTTATTCTTTTTCCTTTCTTCTCTTCTCTTCTTCTTCTTCTCCCTCTTCTTATCCTCCTTCTCTTTCTTCTTCTTCATCTCCTCCTCCTTCTTCTCCTCCTCCTCCCCCCTCTTTTCCTCTTCTCCTCCTCCTCCTCCTCCTCCTTCTTCTTCTTCTTCTTCTTCTTCTTCTTCTTCTTCTTCTTCTTTTTTCTCCTTCTCCTCCTCCTCCTTCCTCCTCCTCCTCCTTCTCCTCCTCCTCCTTCTTGTTCTCCTTCTCTTCCTTCTTCTCCTTCTTCTTCTCCCTCTCCTTCATCTTCTCCTTCTGCTTCTTATTCTTCTTCTTCTTTTTCTACTTCTACTTCTCCTCCTCCTTCTTCTTCTTCTCCTTCTTCTTCTCTGTCTCCTTCTTCTTCTCTTTTCGTTCTTCTTCTCCTTCTTCTACTTTCTTCTCCCTCTTCTCCGTCTTCCTCCTCCTCCTCTTCTCTTCTTCTTCTCCTCCTTCTTCTTCTCCTTCTTATTCTTGTTCTCCTTCTCCTTCTTCTCCTTTTTCTTCTTCTTATTCTTTTTCTCCTTCTTCTCCCTCTTCTTATCCTCCTTCTTCTTCATCTTCTTCTCTCCTCCTCCTTCTTCTCCTTCTCTTCTTTTTTTCCTCTTATCCTCCTCCTCCTCCTTCTCTTCTTCTCCTCCTCCTTCTCTTCTTCTCCTCCCTCTTCTTCTGCTTCTTATTCTCCTTCTTCTTCTGCTTCTTATTCTCCTTCTTCTTCTGCTTCTTATTCTCCTTCTTCTTCTACTTCTTCTTCTCCTTTTTCTTCTTCTTTTTCTCCTTCTTTTTTTCTTCTACTTCTCCTCCTCCTTCTCCTTCTTCTTCTTATCCTCCTCCTCCTTCTTCTTCTCCTTCTTCTTCTTCTCCATCTCCTCCTCCTTCTCCTCCTCCTTCTCCTCCTCCTTCTTCTCCTTCTTCTTTTTCTTCTTCTTTTCATCCTCCTTCTTCTTCACATCCTCCTCCTTCTTCTTCTCCCTCCTCCTCCTTCTACTTCTCCTCCTCCTCCCTCTTCTTCTCCTCCTCCTCCTTCTTCTTCTCCTCCTCCTCCTTCTTCTTCTCCTCCTCCTTCTTCTTCTTCTCCTCCTCCTACTTCCTCTTTTCTTTCTTCTTCTTCTCCTCTCCCCTGTGTGCTCCCCTGTCTCTGCAAGGGACAGAAGTAATTATGGGGTTAAATGCTGGCCATAGACGGGCCGAAAATCGTTCCGATTTTTTTTTTTTTTTACCGTTGGTGGTAACGTCGGCCGATCGAACGACCGATTTTTTTTTTTTTTTTTTAAAACGGCCAATTTTCGACCCGTCTATGGCCTGCATAAGGCTCAGTGCCGAAACGCGTAAAGCCATTTTGTGTGCACGTTTTACTCAATACAGTTCAGGAAGACGAGTGCTGGCTATACCAATCCTGGTCATTCAGTTGCATCTGTGCTGGGAAGACCCACAGAGCCAGAGCACCAACATTCCACCTCCGCGGGGATGATCTCTGGGCGTAGCACATACTTGTTCATGTTTCTTCACCCCTCAGACTGCTGGATGT